ATCAAACAAGTCCCGTAATCTAATTTCTTAATTCTGGCTTTAGCCCTTTTTTTTTGCCAAACATTTTTCCTAATCAGTTTGTTCCACTGAAATGCCTGAAATAACTTTTTAAGAGGGCACATGCTGCATACTGGCATTTGCCAAATAAGCCCTCTTTATGTTGGTAGCAGTTGACTCTAGTGCTTGAGTTGGGGTTAGGCTGTAATTTTAGAAGACCTCATGTTTAAATAGAAAGGGTAAATATTTGTGGTTGTATTACTTTAGTTAGACTTTTCATCATAGTGAGTGTCCCTCATTCCAGACACACTTTTCTTGTGTGGTTACATGGATGCACTGTTTTAGATAGTTTACATACTAGAATAATCTACAGTACTCCTACTTGAATCAGTGGGAGAATAATTTTCTTTATTTTTTTGAGTCAACTTGAAATTCTGACAAATGATGAGGTACAGTATGAATCATATTTTGGACACATTATACAAAATCTTAGCTCTCTTGAGACGTTTATAATGTTGGGAAAGTGGAAAGAAAGAGAGAAAGAGGACAACCAATAACAAGGTGTATTACATTGATGATTGGTGCACCATTGGAAGACTTGATGGTCCAGGTTAGGAACAGATCACTCTGTCTTCAGGGTTGCTAAGAAATGATACAGATTTGATAACTCATCATCATCATCCTCATAGATGATGACCCATCTAATTAGCTAAAGCCATCACCATCCATATTACAATTTACCAAGTGTTGGACAATTGTCCTGGCTGCATCCAGGTACAACAATAAAACATACTGTGTCATTATTCACAAATATCAAGCCCCACCCTAATGTACTGTGTTTTCCCTCTGTTCTCATCTTCCTCTGTATAAGGGAATAGATAAATTAGGTATTTTTGTACTGCTTAGTGGTAAGCTACTCCTAAAACCTTTAGAAAGAGAACTTCATTAAATACAGTAGCGCAAGCAAGACACCCTACTTCACATCACTTAAGCAGCTGTGTCATCCAGGAGGCTCAGTGCACTTGCTAGGAAGGATTTCCCAGTTGTCTCTCTGCATGCATGGTGTGCATAAGCAACCCTTCTGGGAATGCCTGCAAAGTGAAGTGATTTCAATGCTACATTTATTTGTGATAAGTATATGTTGCCAATCCCAGAAAGAGTTAACAGTGACTTACAAAATTCCATAAAATGAATAAAACTAATAAATTCATTAAAACAAATTACATAATTCCTTTGACAGTCTGTGAAAGGAATTGGGGATAGTCTTCAAAGAACAAAGCCTGTCTGTGGGCATTTTATCACTTTGAAGAGAGCTGCTTTGTAAAACACCCCTATTAAATACCTTGCACTTCTTTGATAACCACAGTTGCACCAAAATATAAATTATTTTTCTTCAAACCATGATTTCAATAGAAACCAGAATTCCAAACCACATAATCTGGCTTGGAAACAGACTGGTTTTTAGGAAGGTAATTTGTTGGATGCCAATCATATGACATACAGTATTGAGATAGTCATTTTCTGATCTCATTCTCTTGTGTTTGGATATAAGTTGAAGGAAAGTACACTCCTGCTTATACTGTATAATGAAGGGAAAGACCCAAATTGGGGGAGTGTAAATGTTTATAGGCTTATTAGGGCAGGTTGCATTAATGGGTCAGGGATGAGTTGAGTTTTCTGAAGTAAATTGGTGCAGTGTATACTGAAGTACTATAGTCAGAACATAAAATTTAAAATTTCAATTTCAAGGTTTCAACTTGAAATCTAAAATATTTATAAATTGTTCTCTAAGATACTATATTCTAATCTATTTACTAAATATGTGCTTGTGGAAAAAGTGTAGTCTGATCTTTCACTTGGCTTCATAGAAAGCAATATTTCCCATCCATGGCAAATTTAGGACGTATGGACTTCAACTCCTAGAATTCCTAAGCTAGCATGCTGGCTGAGGTATTCTGGGAATTGAAGTCCGCATAGCTTGAAGTTGTTAACAGTTGAGAAACACTAATATAAAGCCTAGTCCAAAAACTTGCACTCAAGGAGGGATGCTGTGAACATCCTCTAAATCTTCTGAATATAGTGCAGAATGCTGCAGCACGGATAGTTCTGTTTGCCCCCAAGACAGCACCTGTCACGCCTGGGCTGCACAAACTGCATTGGTTGCTGTATGTTTCCATGTCCAATTCAAAGTGCTGGTTTTTACCTTTACAACTCTTCAGGGCCTGAGACCAGGTTATCTGGGGGACTGCTATTCCCCAATTTCATCAGCCAACAGACTGCTATTCCCCATTAGAGCCAACAGAGGGGGCATGCTATGTGAAAGACCTACATATTGGGCCTTTTCTGCTGTGGCACTCCCCTTATGGAATATTTCCACACACCTAGTTTAGATTAGCTCCACAATTTTTAATGTTCTGGAAGTTCCTCAAGAGTTGGTTAAGTCCTTAGACTTCAGGGTCCCAGGAAACTGGCAACATTTTTAGTTGCCTCCCCTATTATAGTTGAAATATGGTTGCTGTTATCTCTGAGTTTATGGTTTGCATCATCTATTTTTTTAATGATTTAATCTTTTAAAATGATGATTGTGTATATTTTTATAAGATTATATTGTGGTTTTGATTGTTGTATATGGCCCACAGTTATTTCCAGTGAGATTGGCACCTGTATAAATTTGATAAATTGGAAATTCTTCATAGTTAGCACCTATTAATTGATTAATGTTTGTATATTTTGCTGATGCAAATACTTATATCATATATCGTATTCTAGGTAAGTTATATTATAAATCAAATCCTATAATATCATAAATTATAACTTAATCATAACTGGGAAATGTTATAACCCTATTGGGAAATCTATCTAATGTGGTGTTTTTTGTTTAATAGGATTTTATTAAAAAGATTTTAAAGTTAGGGAATACTCTTGCAATGAATGCTAAAGATAATCCTGTCAGTACAGGTAGTCCTGGCTTAACAACTGATTGTTAAACAACCAATCAAATCCTTACCCCCGTGTCACGTGATTGTATTTGAGTTAGCAACTGGCTCACATTTATGACAGGTTGCAGTGTTCCACAGTGACCATGATTTGTGACTTTTTTTGCCAGTTTACAGAATTTTTTTCCTTGATTCCAGCAAAAAATGCCCATTCACGAAAATAGATTCACTTAACGAATGTCATGGTTCCCTTAATAATCATTTATTGCACTTAATGGCTGTTATTCACTTTTATAATAGTGAAAACAGCCATAAAACCAAGTCAGGTCATGTGAAGACGCTCTTAAGGACTGCAGCGACTTAATGACCAAAATTCTCTGCCCAACTGTAGTCATTAAGAGAGGACTACCTGTAGCTTGTAACTATTTGTAATTATATTTAAAAATAAGGATTACTTTTTTCTTATCTGGAGGAGTCATTTATCCACTACACAGGTATTCATATACACATGCAAATATAATTTTAATCAGTATTAAAGAGTTCAAATTGTATTTCTAAATTTTGAAAAATTTTTCCTCTTTCCTCAAGAATGATGCGATGGCTGCTTAGACAAAAGGAATACAATTGATGTGTTGTATGGATTAGTAAATGCCTGTGCTATGTTTAATATTTTTTCCAACATGTCTGTCTTTAGGCGAGGAAATATTGTAAGCTTTTATTAGAATGACGTATTTTACTTTATTTGACTTTATTTCATATTTCTGCCTCAGCTGTATTTTAAATTTTCTTTTATTAAAGTCAGTTTATATTTTTGCTATATATTTGGATATTTTCAAGCTGTAGACATATGAAAATTATATTAGAAATTCTATCAGAATCAAATCTTCATACCATATATGCAGCTAGGATGTAGAAATTTGTAATGTACTATTTAAATATAACATTTGCTGTTACTCTATTGTTTTGCAGATGCCAGGCCATATCAGTATTATTTGTTTATCTGCTAAGTTTATAAGTTTATTGTAGAAAAATTTGCAAAATAGTAATCCACGCTTACCTTCAAGCTATAGTATTTTTCTAAAGAAAGGATACTTTGTGTTATGAGTTTTGGCCTTTTTGCTTCAATACTTTTTTGAAGTGCTTTTCCTGAAAATAGGAAAAAATGCAAAGTTAGTTCTCAGGCTTAGTTGAAGAAATTAATGGCATGAAATTATCCTGCCCAGGTTTCCGTCTGCAGCAATCTTTTGACTCCAAAAATCCTTTGGTTGACTTAAGACTTTTCAAGAAGTATGAAAACAGAAAGATTGGATGAATAATTTTTTTTCTTTAGATTTAATCCCAGTTATGATCAATTCCCTTTTCCCAATGAAACTGTATTTCTCGTTTCAAAAGATACTATTGACATTTCTCTAGATGTAATTTTGGAGGGGAGAGGTTCTGCAAGACAAAAGAGAAGAATACGCACTTAACAGAGTACGCGTTCTTAGACGCAGTGCAAGGAAGAGTTTTTAAATATTGGCAGCAGGATGTCTTGAAGACCATTGAGTGATACATACTCACATAAAGTGAGATTTCATTTGGATATAAGAGTGTCAGTGGAGCTTCAAATGATCACAACAAACACAATGTATTTTGGGTTAGTCCCAAAGCTTGAGAAGATGGTGAATTAGTTTCATTGCCTGATAATGGTATTTCAAATGAAAGTGAATTTAAAGAGCTGCAAAGTATATTCTGCTGATACCCTAAATTTTGATGATATGGGTAGGGATGGAAGTGTTCCCAGTTAAATTTATTTGATGTCTGAACTGTGGCAGTTCAAAATTTAATTGTTGTGTCTAATTGATTGCAGAATATTATATAATATAATATATAATAATACATACATACAATTACTTGAGGGAAGTTCCCTTAAGTCTGATTGGAACATAGGCAGTTACAAATCTCCTTAAATCAGTTTATTGGAAGCAAAGAAAGCAGTTTATTTTCCATTGTTCTTATTGTTACTTCCAGCTTCTAATTTTAGAAATACTGACTTTTTGTTTTTCTTTCCTTTTTTCCTTTTTTCAGATGAACGGGACAAAGTACAAAAGAAAACATTCACAAAATGGATAAACCAGCACCTCCTGAAGGTCAGAATATTTAGATTCATTAAACTTTGTAGTACTTTGGATGTTGTAATGTTTTACCAAGGTGGTCTGGGATGGAATGGAACATTTATGTAATATATCAAAAAAGGATAATACTCAAGATAACAACAACAACAACCAATTCCAGACATTCCTGGAAGAGGCTGTTTTTCTAGATCAGTGGTTCTCAACCTGTGGGTCGGGACCCCATTTGGGGTCGAACGATCATTTCACGGGGGTCGCCAAACAACGCAGTCCGCCATTTTTTTCCCCCTTTTCCTTAGCTGTGCTACTCCCTTTTATTCTATTGGCTTTTGAAAGCCAATAGAATAGACTCTCTTGAATAGAGTCTAATTCTATTGGCTTTCAAAAGCCAATAGGAATTGTCCAGGCTGTCTCTGCCCTGCTGAGCCCGCCAAAAGTCCCATTCTGCAAACGGTGCTGCACCAGTTGAGTAGTCCTCGACTTACGACCGGTTGAGTAGTCCTCGACTTACGACCGGTTGGGGGGTCACGGCATTAAAAAGGTTGAGAACCACTGTTCTAGATCCAGCCTGGTCACCTAGCTTGATGAGCTTGTTTGATGAGTTTTCTTTAGAGAGGCAATATTACTCATTATTATTCAATATTCCATGTCATGTTAATACAGGTAGTCCTCGACTTACAACAATTCATTTAGTGACCGTTCGAAGTTATAACATCATTGAAAAAATTCACTCAAGACTATTTTTCACACAATGTTTGCAGCATCCCCATGGTCACATGATCAAAATTCAGAGGCTTGGCAACTGCTCATATTTATGATGGGTTGCAGTGTCCCAGGGTTATGTGACCTCATTTTGCAACCTTTCAAGCAAAGTCAATGGGGAAGCCAGGTTTACTTAGCAACTGTGTACAGACTTAATGACTGTACTGATTCACTTAACTGTGGCAAGAAAGGTCGTAAAATGTGGCAAAATTGATTTAACAAATGTCTCATTTAGCAACCGAAATTTGGGGATCAGTTGTGGTCTTAAGAACTACAAACAACTTCAATCAGGATGCCTTCCTGTACCACATCTGTTAGATGGGATAAAGGGTATGGCATTTTGATGGTTCTGCTTCTGTCTGCAATGCCAATTGTAGCTCATATGGTTTTGTATGAGCAGAAACACACACAGCATATAATAATTTTAGATTATGTAGCAAAAAGATTCTACAATTGAAGCAGACTTGCAGCTCAACGTGTGCTTTATCATGATGTCCTCAGTTGTTGAAGTGTGCTATGTTGAGTATTTAATAGTGAGTCTGAAATGGGTTTATTTCTTAGGATTCTCAGGAATGCTAAAAAGTTAACCTGTTGTGAGTCCAGATAATGTAAAAGGCTTCATGCTTGTCTGAATTTCCCTCCCTATATTTCTCCATAGTAGAAAGTCCTTTTTGTGAGCACTGCGTATTTGTGTCATGTGACCAGGGAGGCTGCCCAATGCCACTCCTTAATTAGTGCTGGTGGGAGGTTGTGATAGGTCCTAAGTTGCAGAATAATGCAGATTTCATTGGAATAGTCAAGGAGGTTAGTTATGCCAGGTGTGGGGCTGTTGTGAATTGTTCACAGGGTATAACTTTGAATTTATGTTATAAGATTTTGTGTTATGCCATGCAGTATATAAGTGTAATAATTTATATCAAATTACAGTTATATATATTAAGCAGGCAGAGTCCTCTGCATCTTTGGAACAAAATCTATATAGATACATTAATATTTTTCCTGTGCATTAAACATTAAACAGTCTGGTACTATTAATGTATTCATTTATTCTCTTTGTAATGGTAGTTTGTGATGAACTGTTGATTGAAGTAAACTTTGATTAATCTTTTATTACTTAACTTTGTTAGAAGCATATATGCTACTTTACCAACTACAGTCATCTGAAAGCCTTTAAAATAATGGATACATTATTCAGTGAGATGTTTCTTGTTACCTGTATAGTGCTGCATTATGCAGATTAAGCTCTAAAAACATATTGACTTCTTGCCAGTTCTTTATGAGCTGTGATATTTATTCCAGCTTGGCTCTATTTTTGGTTACATCCAAAAAATAGATAAGAAATATATCATGCAATTTTCTCCTGTTTAAAAGACTGATGTTTTCTTATTTATATGTTTCAGTTGCATATGAAAATGTCTCATTTTTGAAACAAACATGGGAGGGCATACAAATTATTTACTTATTTTTGCTCCAATTATAGTAAGGACATAAAACTTCAGTAAAAGTTCAGGAACCTTTTTTTTGTATATACAGCCCCCCCCCTGTGTGTGTGTGTGTGTGTGTGTAAAAATGTGGGTGTTTTATAAAGGTTTGGAGAATCAGCTGAGGGAGAGGTTTTTAAAAAATATTTTTCTCTGAAATTTTCCTGGTTCCCATCACTTGTTTAAAACAGAGGCCCCCAACCTTTTGGGCACCAGGAACCGGTTTCATGGAGAGAGGTTTTTCCGCAGACCGTAGAATGTGTGGTTTTGTGTGCTGCCTGCATCCCGCAGATGGGGCTTTGCTTGTTTGTGCGGACCAGTTGCTGGCATGCCGCGGCCCGATACTGGTCCACGGACCGGGGGTTGTGGACCCCCGGTCTAAAACACATATATTTCCTTATCTTCTGTATGACTGGCCCATAATAGCTTTGGGAATGGCTTTAGATTGGAAAAATGATATAAAAGACAACCAGGGAAATGAATAAAAGAGGAGGGGAATCTCATAGCTACGAAGCCCGGTAAATCTTTTGATTATAGTTCCAACAGACATTCTTCCTATGTATTAAGAAATAGTTTTTATACTTTGTTCCTTAATTTGTTTTGGATTGGGTTGATCATGGAAAAGACAGAATTCATGTAGATGGCTCAACTGCTGCAGAAATAAGTTTTCTTACCGCCAAGTAGTTTATATATTAGTTTAATTTGGAGAACAGTTAAGAGGATTTTTAACTCAATGGATATGTGGTTAAAATGGCCAGCCATGTTCCTCATTAGGCTAATCTAACTGAGTATATTTACCAGTGAGAAAGACATGTGCTTTTTTTTTCTACTCTGACTTTGGAGATATCAGAAACAGAGGAATAGTGGAGTAGGTGACCGCAGTCTGTTAACTGATGAAAAAGTATAGGTACTTTTGAAGACACCTCCTTTACCTGCTCTATATTAGGGTGTTACTTTTCTTCTTTTCTTAGTTTCTTTCCCCCCTTTTTTCCTTTTCATCCAGTTTTCTCCTTTCTCTAAACTTCCAGCTGTTAGAGAAGCAGCTTACCTACATCCATCCTGGTGTTTTTTTCCGCTTCTTCCTTTGTGCATATGAGTCACCAGAGTAATTTCTGTATGTGTCAAAGAATGAGCAGTAAGTGCTGGTGGAGAAGAAAGTACTTTTATAAATAGGGCACCTTATTTATTAGCTTAATCGGTATTGATTGATTCAGTTGATATTTTTTTTATCCAGGCCCTGCCTGCCTTTTGATGTGCTTTTGGGCAGGTATACATATCTACATACACTAAAACACATTTGACTGTATTGCAGGCACACGTTTATCGAAGAACATTCAGGCTTAGTTTTAGCCAGTGGTGGCAATTTTAGAAGACAAAATAGGGAAATTGGGCATTGCACAGGATAGTTTTTATAAATTTTGGCTTTGGCCTTGAAGGTGGTATCATGTTCCAGAAGGTTGCAGATGCCATTACAATACATCACTGATCATTTATTTTGTAAGGTGCACAGACCCGGTGGAGGAGCATGAAATAAATCAAGGTTATTTATTTAAGTCCGGGTATGTTTGACAGCTCTGTGAGCCTGGTATCTGACACAAACATTGAAACAGGAAAGAAAACCTGTACCCCACCTACTATGACAAGACATATTCCCTGCAGCTGGAGTCTTTCTCATTGGCTCAGGTTTTGCTGCAGTAGATATGCCAGAAGTTGAAGCATTCTATTAAAATGAACTCAAAAATGGTGCTATGAGGAAAGAACCCATCTGTCCTGAAGCACTTTCAATCTGGAACAACAAATTACTATTTATTTATTGGAAACAGGGAAACAAGAGAAAATATTCTTTTGTGTCTCTTGTTATGTTCACCATACAGTATATGCCCACTAACTTTGTTTGTTGGAAGTCAGCTGGGAAGGTTACAAATGGTCATCACATGACCCAGGTATAATACAATAGCAAGAGCACTTAGACTTATATACCGCTTCATAGTGCTTTACAGCCCTCTCTGAACAGTTTACAGAGTCAACCTATTGCCCCGAACAATCTGGGTCCTCATTTGACCGACCTCAGAAGGATGGAAGGTTAACCTTGAGCCAGTCAGGATTGAACTGCTGGCAGTTGGCAGATTGCATTCTAACCACTGCACCATAAATACATGCTAGTTGCCACATGCCCAAATTTTGATCATGTGACCATACAGGGATGCTTCAACAGTCCTAAGTTTGAATAGTCATTTTTTACAGGCCCATTGTAACTTCGAATGGTATCTAAACAAATGGTTGCAAGTTGAGGACTACCTGTATTGTTTTTTATTATAATTTTCTGGAAGGGCTAATTGGCTCTTCGTTTCTACTTAAGAGCCAGTTATGTATCAGACTAGTTAGAAATACTGATTTCCAGACTGACCAAAAACAGGAATTAAATGATAGGGTAGGCCTGGGCTGATGAGAAGCGCCCATGAATTGCATTTGCTCTGTTAACACTTTGATCAAAATTAGTATGCCCAATGTGATGAAGGTGACAGGACTTTACTTGGTGAGGAGAGGGGCAAGACTGAATAAACCAGGGCTGGAATTAATATTTGCATAGGGTGGGAAAAGTCCATAATGGTGTATGTATATTATACTATATAAACTCTGAATGTTTGTACATGATTATATCTTAAAGGTTCTGATTAGGGCTAATCCACATAGTGAACTGTGGAACTTATCTCTGGTTGCAGCACTTTTCTTTTATTCAGTGGAGTTAAGCAACATGGCTATGATATAATAAAG